AAGTCACGAGCCTGAAGGGCTACGTCCAAGATCCCCTAACCTCTGGTCAAGCCACGGAGGTCGTCTGGGGTGGGCAACACACGCCTCTTTTGTTGCTAGCTCACCTTATAATTCAAATTTCTCAGGGTCGGCCACCGACCTCGGGAGGACTCAGAACAACCGATCACTTACCTTGCTGTGCCGAAATGAAATAACGAGCGGACAATAAACCCTCATCTGCCGAACATGCTGGCTCTTTCGATCAAAAAGATAAGTAATTAGAAAGTGTTTTTTAGTTTGAATTACATATATTAAAGCCTATTTCTTGCTGCACTGTAGCGCTGGGGCCCCGTTGACGGTGGGAATTGGAAGGAGGGATGACACGTACCTTTCTGCTTCGTGGTGGTTTCGTCGAAATTACCGAATGGTGCTGCCGATCTCGAGGGGTGAACGAACGACGGCAACGTCAGTGGAGATGTGTGCCGTATCCTAGTGGACTCTGCCACGTGGGTTCCACGTACAGTGGAGTCGGTCGAATCAGCTTTGCGGATCGTTAGCGGTAGATCGCAAGCTGAGGTGCTCGGGATGAAATTCACCTGCTGGCACGCTGGGAAACAGCGTAGCGTGCAACAGAATGGTGAAGTGAGTCAAACGGTAATTTACTCGACTTTGTACCGTGTAGCGTGGTACAAAACGGACCTCACAATCGCGAACTTTTCTGTGTTCGGGCTATTGGTTTAATCACCTGATTACTCCTTAGGGTAATCTTATCACCAACTCACTATGTTGCTCCTCGGAGCTTCACTACACCGTATCGACCTAACCTTTTAATGCGAGGGTTTTAATTAACTTCTGGTTTGTTTCCTAGTCGCTCCCTCGGTAATCTGCTATCCAAGCCCTCCATCTTCCATCCTTTTCCTTTTCTCCCATCATCCTTTCCTTTTTCCTCCCGGATCCAGTGTTGATGTGGTGGTACCAATTGCCCATTTACAGCGTTTACTCCAACAAAGGCTTTTATACCACTTGCTTTCAGGCGGTGGCTCGATAGTAAAACTATTTTTAAATTCAAGTTAACAATGCTAGATTTTTGTATTATAATTAATAAACTACTCGCAGTTTTCAATGAGAGCCAGCAAAAGTTATTTACTAGGAAATAATGTTAATAAAATCTAGAAATTCAGTCAGATGAACATCTATTGTTCCGATTTCAAGTGGATCGGTAACAACATGTGAGAAGATGAATAATTTTAAATGTTATGTTTAGTATTTTTTCATATAAGCATTCCACTAGATCACATATTTTTAATTCAGGGAAAAATCCCTTTTCCCCTTTTATGATGTTTTATTTTATTGAGTGCACTTGATCTCCAAAAGATTTTGCATAAGCACCTTGAATACTGCACAGTAGACCTGGCCGTTTTTGTATGTGTGACGCATCGTCAATGTGAAATATAAATTAAATAAACAAGAAAAATGATGGAGGTATGTAAATCATTTTCCACGATGCTTTCAAGAACTGGCTGAGTTGGAGTTAGATTAGATTAGGTTAGATTAGATAGATACAGGTTTCTTAAATACAACAATACATATGATGCTTATTAAGATAATAATTTCTTTGAATTAGTCAAACTGTGGGAAAACACTTGGTATTGCGTATTTTGTACCAAAGTAGACTGCGGCGCTAAAATTAATCCCATCGATTTTTTTTTCACTCAGGGAAATAAATATACAAATTTTACATTTTTTTTATTATTATAGTCACGTTAACACTATTGGGTCATTCGTGATTTGTCCGGATTGGGATTTGACTCGTGACTTAAGCGTGTGAGGTATGGATGTTAACCACTACGCCGGGGCAATCCCCAATGAATCATTTGGAATGTAGCAAAGTAGTACATTTTACAATAGAGTTTCATATCAACATAGGGTTAATAATCTTATTTCCGCCCTATTAAGCACAGCACGCACTTTCCCTTCTTTTCACCAGTGGATTTGAACGAAAACTGGAATGATTCTATTATATAGGGGAAATGATGGCTTCGGCATGACAGACTATTTTCAGCAACTCAAATTGAAACACTGATTTCACTGGATTTTCTTACGAAAACACTTCACTTTATGCATTCAAACGATTCTTTAGGCTTTCAGCTTCAATTTGATTACATTTTTACCACTTAGAAAAAGCAATCTTGCAGGGTTTTATTCAAATGAAACACACGCACTACAAAATGCTGCTGATTTCGAGTTGCCGATGAAAGCACAGCTGTTTCACACGCAGCTCAAATAGAAAGGTTGCCGAATAAAAAGATGTTACCCACAATAGTCGCTCTCACTAGAGAAGATTGGAGCTTTGTAAAAGCGTTTCAAAACAGGTTTTGACCATTCTTTCAACTGAAATTGTTAGAGCAGCTGGCAGCAAAAGATTGTAAACAAACCAATACTGCATATTTGTGCGTTCCTTAGAGAAAAGGGCTACAGAAAGATGGTCACTGCTTAGGTTGGCGAGAATACGTAAATTCTCCTATGACTTCCAATTTTATTTACTTGGCCATAATACGTACCGTAGAATTTGAAAAAGAGTCACAAATTGTTAAGATATTGTTAAAACTCTAACACTACTTCTTCTTGATTCCAAATTCATCCAAAGATTTTCAATTATGTCCTGACGGATTGAAACGGTATTGTTTTATTTTCGTCCTACGAATGAAGACACATAAAATGGACTCACTCGGACCGCTTCTTTTATTTTTGAGTACAATTGGTGTAAATATTCATACAATGCGCTCTAATAGGCTTTATGTTGTAGATAATGAACTAACACATCGAAAAAACGTATAAAATATTTACAGCCATTCCATAGCAAAACGATATAGTGGTTCTCAGAATTTCGTAACAATTGGCAGTTTTGTTCCTTATCGAAAAATATTAGACGCGTATTTTTTTTTTTATTTTCTCATTAGGGTGACCATTTTCCTGTAAGGGTGGTCCAAAAAATCGTCCACTAGTCGTATTGGAGCCTAAATTTTCAAAAATAAAAACAAAATATAAAAACGTGTTACGCCCATTGTCTACAAACCATGAAAACCATAAAAAAAACAAATACAATCAAAGTTCTTCCATACAGAACTCAAATTTTCGAGAAATTTTATATTTTTTCTGTAAAGTATTTTTAATAACCTTTCATTTGATATTTTGATCATTCAAATCGGTTCAATGGTTCAAAAGTTTTGATTTAAAAAAAATGAAATTTTTGGAAAAAATTGATTTTTTGTACCACCCTAACAGGAAAATGGTCACCCTAATGAGAAAATAAAAAAATATAGGTCTAATATTTTTCGATAAGGAACAAAACTGCCAATTGTTACGAAATTCTGAGAACCAAGTTTTGCTATGGAATGGCTATGTGGCCATTCATCACAAGTGGCTGTGTGGCCATTCATCACAAGTCAAGCAATTGATTAGTACCAACCTAAATTTTTTATATGTTTCCTAGAAGATCCTAGTTTTCGGAAATCAATGACGTTTGTTTCAGAAAATTGAAGCCTATGGTATTTTTTTTTTCTTTCTGCAATCCCACATCAAAGCCACCTTGCAGATTTAAAAGATTATGAAAGCCATCTTTGCAGCTTTTCCATCAAAGATGGCTGTAATGTATGATTTGTAAAATCTGGAGCACAACATGATTTTTCAAGAAAAACAATGAGTGGGAAAACTATCTATCATAGAAGAATAAAACATAAAACTCAATCCACATAAAAAGCTCTGCATGAAATATTCCAATCATATACTTTTGTTTCTTATAACATAGCATTCCCAGTAGATCATATGGCTACTCTCTACTAAAATTGCTTTCAAGCACTTCCATAGCCATTAATTCACAGCTTATCATACCTACCTTTGCACTTTGTTTTTTAGACTTATGACATGTTGCGTATGATTTTATGGTATGTATGATAACCTAGCATTGTGTGATAAGCTTAATTATAGCCAATGCTCGGGGAAGCAATATCTAGGAAGTGTGGAATGCTCAAGAAACTGGATACGAGCTGTCACGAACCGAGTAATTTGGCATAACATAGTACTGCCGATGAAATTTAACCAGATGACAATGGACCAGGAAAGGTAAGAAAGTGAAGAAAAAGTACAACCAGAACAAAAACCCGCCGTGAAGTGATGGTGGATTCTGTTCCCAGTCCGGTCATCTATGCGCTTAGAATATTTTCTTTATTTTCGTAGGCATATGAAGCTCCAATTAATATTTGTGGAAATGTTTAAATATTAGGCATATGTTTCAGTAGAAATTATATAAACCAGGGAAAATATAATAAATAATTTTTAATAGAAAATTCTTAGAGGCATGTGGCGCATACACAAAACATGTTTTGTGACATTTCTTTTCATTCTAATTATGCTTTGTCAAGTCACAAAACTTTTCAAGAAACTGGGTTTGATATTTGAGCATAGAACCGTAAATGACACATTTTTTTCCTAAGAGATGTTTTGAATTCTTGCATTAAAGTGGATGACCCTAGAATAGATTTGAATGTTGTAAGTCACTGCACAATAACATTTTGCGTTCAAGTTTATGTTTTCAATTAGCACAAAAATAATAAATTAAAATAGTGTAATCATTCACCTAAACTCGAAAATGACGTACGATAGCATATTCAATTTCAGTAACAGTAAAGATGCACTTTCAGTCAAGTAGCAATAACCGATAATATGGTCATATTCACACAAACAGCAATGCCATTACTATTTTAAAGGAACCGTTTGAATACTAAAAAGAACATAAGTCATAACAATAATTGCTTTGTAATACTGTTAGTAGATAATAGTTGGCTAATAACTTTTCTAACAAATCACAAACCAGAACGATAGGTAAATTTCAGTATCGTTTGTTAAACATGGTCATTATGCACGGCATTCTAAAAACAATTTGATTACGTCTCATCTAAAGTTGCAGGTTCATCGAAATCATAACAAAAATGTTATTGTGATTATTATAATAAATCTTGCACCTTAAAACCGTCATAGGTCCAGCTTCCTAGTTTTAAGACACATGTTTGTACATCATATGGAAAATATTCAACATCAATTGAGCACGACGATTTGTACACTGCCGGTGGTTGCCAAATAACCAGACCTGTATTATATACTGTTGCTTTAGTCATTAGCGTTACTTCATAATGACCATCAGCACTGTGAAGAGAAAGAACGTAAAAGAATGTAGAAAATTCACAAAAGAAAAGATGCATACAAATTGAATATTGTTTATAGGCAGTACTTTCTTTCCATTTAGGTTTATTGTTTTTTTTCAACACGTACATAGAGTAACTTAAGATAAATCACAAAAATGGAACAAATCAGTAACTTAGGTTATATTGACATGCTAAAAATGAACATGAAGTTGAAAAACGTGAAAATAAGGTTGACGAGTCATGAAATTTATTAAAATAGAATGTAATTAAATCAAATAATTTCAACAACATATCTTGTCTTTAGTGCAAAATATGATTTTGAAAGATATTTTGACAAGCTTTAGGTGAACATAAAATATATATGAGTCTGATGAGTCTTACAGTCGAAAAAAAGCCTTAAATTGTACTTAATTCAACAAATAATCATAAACTATGTCTTAACATTTGCAATAAACCATATTCACCAAACCAAAACTGGATTTAAAAAATAAAAACAATATATTCATGGAATAAAGCAGGTCATAATAAGTATACCACATCGTTGAGATAATCCCATTAGATGTTGTTTGTTGGCAAGAGCAACAATTTGGAATGCTTATCGATAAACGTTCACTTTTGTTCATTTATTGACGAATAATTCGGATATTTCTAGTCAGGATAGTGAATATTACTTGATTCCCGTGCCACGGTAGACTTCTGGATGATCGGTGAAAATTTAAAGGCGAGAATTTTACGACTGTTTGAAAACGTGAACCTAGGGGATAAGCCTGACGTAATTATTAAGATATATGCCTCTCACGCAGCGGTCACGAGCACAGCACGTAAATAGGTTCCCCGGAAGTGTCACGCATAACAATGTTGAAGTGACTAAAATACAAAAGTGAACCTGTACCATTGACTTCCGCTAAGCCATAACTGTTCCAATGTAGCAAATATAAATCCATAGGCTTAATCGTAAGATCTATCTACTGATGGTATGGTATGGTATATGCTATAAATAATTCGTTGGTCGAAGTGCACAACATTACTTAAAAATCTATGTTCAGTCTCATCTTACTAAATAGCATACAGTTCTATGTGCATACAGGGTTATGTATTTATGTGCACGTCTAGAACAAACGAAACTTACAATATGCAACAGTGTATAGCACCGTGACAAAAGTGAAAAGGTACTTTTTTAGAGTGAACCGGTGTATGAGATATTCAATTGTGATGCCTACCGCACACTCACATGCACACAAATACAGTCGGGGCTCAGCTGCTAGTTACCGGTTGGGTCAGTAGTAGTCTAACGGCCATCATAGCCATTCTGGCTGTGATGATTACTTGAGAAAGCAAGTCCGGACAAGCAATAGTAGCCTGTCTAGGATGTGGCAGGATTGAACAGTGGGACCTGATGAATTTCTATAAAATACCACATTATCCGAAAGCAGCTCCGTCGAAGCTAGTTAGTATCGCTTTAAGCACTTTAGCCCAACACCCATAGAAGTGCTAACCGGAACATTAGAATCGATGCCAGTAAGGTTCTAATTACGGGATACTGGTCACGGAATAGTATAATTGACACGACACGGCACACTGGATTGGTTCAGATGCTACAGAGCTGACAGTCGATTTATTCTGCTCCCTGATATCTTCTTTAAATGGCCAGTGGACTAATAATGCGGTTGACTCGTCCCGGTGAAACCTTGGCAGGTCTCCGGAAACGTTCAAAACTCGTCGTCCACCAAAGATGATGGGTAGTAGACTCAGATGTAACATTCCTCACTTGCGCCGATCTGGCTCTGAATACGATCCCCATGAAGAGCCGTGTCAAACCTTCAATGGTTGCCTTGCTTACATAGATAGCCAAGGGATCACACTGGTGGCCACAACGAGTTCCAACAGTAGCAAGCACCAGAAGGACTGCAGCTTGGATCAACCAGCATGAAGAAGATCAACGAACTCTATGACTTATAACACCGGCTGAAACACAGGAGTAGGGACTCCTAGATTCACGCTCGGAGAAAAGAAAAAGGGAGAGAAAGAGAAGTTGAAAAATCCAAGAATCACAAGGAAGGTAAAAGGAGCGATGGCGAGAATCAGAAGGAGAAGCGGGAAAAACAGATGTAAAAGGAAGTGAAAAAGGAAAGTCGAGTGCAGGGACTCAGACGAGATCACAACAGAAGAGGGACTGAGAAGTGCACAGATCTGGGAGATGTAACGATGACAATTCGGATGAGGAAGGCGTACGGCGGCGATACGACTTTCAACGTCTGCAGCGAACAAGCTGTTGGAGAAGGGCAAAGTAAAAGTTGGGTGGTCAATGTGCTCGCTGAAAGCCACCTCTCGGGTTACCAAGCAAATGGAGAGATGCTTTAAGTGCATGGGCTTCGGGTACCAGGTGAGATACTGCAAAGGCCCTGACAGATCTGATATGTGTAGAAAATACGGGGAGAAGGGTCCATCGCAAGAGGCTGCACGAAGCAGCCGAGGTGCTTGCTCTGCAAAAAGAAGGACGTAAACGGCCATATGACGGGAAGCAATGCACAGCATACAAAAAGGCGATGGTGGGCCAATATTAATGGAGGTAACCCAGATAAACCTCAATCATTCCGACACAGCATAGCAACTTTAGTAACAGTCAACAATGGAAACAAAGTGTGACGTTGCAATCATTGCGGAACTGCATCGGTAACGGTAACTGGGTGGTTCATATAGCTGAGGTGGCTTCAATACAAGTTATGGGTGGATGCCCCATTAAAAAAGTGGTTGCGTGGTCATACGAAGGTATCGTGATCGTCAACATTAACGGAATATTCATATGCAGTTGCTACGCACCCCATAGATGAGGGTTGCCCAAAATACGGCCCGCGGGCCGCATCTGGCCCATGGCCTCATTTTGTGTGCCCCGCAACGAGCTTAGAAAAAACCTCGTTCCTTTTTGTCAGACGAAAACTTAAGATTTCCAATTGGAACCACGTTTGCGCATTTCGGTGTACCAGTTTCTGACATCAATATGCAACGAGTAATGAAGAGAAGCCAAACATATCAAGAAATAATAAAAAGATTAATTTTGAAACATTGCTGAAGATCGCTCCTTTGTTTTCTTTATTCAGTTTAACAAATTGTAATGGTTTTCAAATGAGACAAATGTTTCGGATTTTGTGAAAATGTGGAAACCGCGTCAAAAAACGCAATTGGTCGGTCGGTGATTTTTTTTTTTTTTTTTTTTTTTGTTATTTTGGCATGATCTTTATAAACAATTTTATGGAATTTTCCGGATTATCACAACAAAAATTGTAATGTTTTATAAGTATACAATTTTATAACTTTTGCCGCAAAATTATCTGATGATTGTTAAAACGTTGTACATGTACCGCTTAAAAAACCACGTAAAAAACCCGGCATCAGATAAAAATTAAAATGTCTGCCCTGATGGACAATGGAGCAGTTCCTATCTGATGGTCTGGATGGACTTGCAGCTAATCGGAGGAAGACAAGTAGTCATCGGAGGAGACTTCAATGCTTGGACAGCAGAGTGGGGAAGCAGATGTACAAACGCAAGAGGGTACAACCTACTGGATGCTCTGGCAAAGCTGGAACTTAGGCTGTCCAACGAAGGCATCATCAGTACTTTGTGAGGGACGGTCGGTGGAGAAGCGGAGAGGAAATCTATATTGTACTGTGATGACGATAGACGTCAAGAATGCATTCAACAGCGTCTGCTGGGAGGCCATAGCCGAAGCGTTACACAGAATGAGGGTCTTTGACTACGTGTGCAGGATTCTGAGGAGTTATTTTCAGGTTCTGGTGTATGAGACAGACATGGTACAGAGATCGATTGGGATCATGGCATGAGTTCCACAAGGCTCCATCCTTGGTCCATCGCTCCGGAATGGGATGTAGAACGGCATGCTGACACTCAAGCTGCCCAAAGGAGTTGAGATCGTAACAGGTGAGACACCGGAAGAGGCATGTTGGTGACTGAGGCGATGAACATGATTGGGAGTGGACCAAAGCTGAAGATAACCCACCACAACACGGAATTACTATTGGTGAGTAACTGCACTGCGGTGCCGTCGGTGAGTACACCATAGCCTTGAAGCGCAGGCGGAAATACCTCGAAGTAATGATCGACGCCCGGCCAAACAGTAGCAAGAGGCGTCTTCTAACTAGTGTAGCCTCGTCGATACTGAGGTATGCATGTCCAGCCTGGGTTTCAGCGCTGACAACCAAGCGGAATCAAGTGAAGTTTAACAGCGTGATTACATCTCACCCCAAAGGGCCTGGGTTTAATCTCAGTCGGGATGTTCTGAGACATACAATCTCTGATCACGAAGGGAAGTAAAGCCGTTGGTCCCCGGTCCATGAGTTGATGGGTCGATAGGTACGGTCCAGTTGTGGTAGCTGCCTTCCTGGCGTCGGTAGCATTGGTACTCAGTACGGAAAACAAGATCGACGGAAAACAAATCAAGGATAAACAAAAATGTGAAGTTGATGCGAGGCTATAGAACAATATCGTTAGAAGCAGTATGCGTTTAACACTATTGTGCATTCGCCTCTTCCGGTGAAAGGTGTGGCAGAGAGCACTTGGAATGCCGTGAACAGGGAAGTCGCACACATTCTCTCGGAGCAGCAACGTAAGTGGACAGACGATCAGCGAGCTAGCAACACCCAGCTAGCGCTGAGATTGTAAGAGGAGCATAAGCACGTCAGCGCCCTTGGGTACCCTTAATTAAATTAATGCCACCTTTAAATCTTCACCAGAAATAAAAAGTCCTGAAGCTTTGCCTGGAACGGATTGCAAGAACTTTACTTTATCTGACAGCTTTCAAATATTACTGAAACCATTAATGAATAAATGACATATGCTTATTTTCATTGAAAATGATCAAATTTTCTTCAACGAGATAAACGTTGATAATAACAGTTACATAAGCTTCTTACACAAAATTGAAAAAACCAATAATGGTATATGCGAATATTAACAGTACTATGATTTTGAAAACATTATTCATATGCATATTCTGAGAGAGAAACCAGTCATACCGCTGAAATAATTTATTTATTCAAAAACTATTTTCTTTAATTCAAGTGAAATATTAAGTTGATATGTTGAGAAAATAATAGCATATCGCAAATTCAGAACACAGGTTAGTAGAAGTCAATAAACGCTTGTAGATTGCTTGTGTGTATTATTCAAATATATCTACAAAATCAGAATTGTGCTGAACAAAAATACGGATGAATTTACAGAATGAAACATGGATTGATCGGTAATAATGAACTTAAGTTTATAACTATTTACATTTAAAAATTGTTGTTAATGAATGTTCCGTGCATATTTTATGGTTAATAGAAATTATCTGGTTCTTTTTTTTTAATTTACAAAAATCTCCCCAAGCTATACATATAAATAATAAAATATTTTTTAGTGAATCATACTCCAAACCAATTAAAATAATGGAATTAACGACAATACAAACATTTGCATCATTTTTACAGTTGATCTTCCAAATGGAATCACTTTGCGGCAATATTTCTGACTGTATAGCTACCTCCCACTAAGACTTGTGGGATTTCAATAACTGCAGAGTTGGATTAAAATTATTATAATTAATAAAATTTTGACACTTCCAACTGATATTGAAAAGCTGTAATGATATGTATGATTAAAGAAAATAAAAGAAAGATTACTCAAAAACATAACAAGTTAAGTGATGGTGCGTTAGTTAAAGCGCTTAAGTTTAAAACGAATAAGTTTTTTTTTATTGCTAGTTCTTCATTAAATACAGACTACTATGTACAGGGGAATACCACTGCGGGGTATAATATGTTTCCTGTGTTTGAAATTAAAACGAGTTTGATTACTTGAATACCAAAAGTAAATGAGAAGTTGGAAATAATATAAATCTGGGACTAGAAAATATTCAGTGAACCTATTTCATTTGGAATGAATACAAAATCCAAGTGTTAAAAAGTTGGAAAATCACTAATAACCTACCTTAAAACCATCATATGTCCAACTTCCAAATTTTAACACGCATGTTTGCTCATCAAATGGAAAATACTCTACGTCTATTTCACATGATGATTTGTATATGGCAGGAGGTTTCCATTCAACTAAGCCTTCGGAATATATTGTGGCTTTTGTCGCTAATGTTACTTCGAAATTACCGTCGGCACTGATTCATTTGACATTAAATTTTAGATGCAGAAAGGGGAGATTTAGCACATGAATTTAAGCAAGGAATTAAAATATTATTTTTATAATTTAGTTTATGTTATTATATTTAGGGGTGGCTTTAAGAACATGAAATCTTTGTTAACAACATAAGTTTTTATTAGTTAGACAAACGATATTCCAAATCCGATACCCATAAAATTTCAAACTATAAACGAAAATGTTCAGCAATTGATGATAAAATAATAGAATTTTCTTAGAAAACATTTGTACCATTGATATAATTTGAGATAGATCCATATTTGAGACCAAAGTTTGATTTAGTTAACCATGATAAAACCGAAAATTGATTCGCTCGTGCTTTGAGCTGAAATCAAAACGTTTAACAACGTAACATTGCGTAAGATGGCGATAGTCAATTTTTTTAATGTTCCATAAAACAGAAATTGAACGTTATCTGTTATTTTAAAAATTATTTGGTCTTTGCAATCAATTGCATATTGAACCCGTTTAGTCAGAAATAATAGATACTAACTTGTACGTTGATGGTAGTGTACTTACTTGTTGTATAACACAATGTCAGGACGCCATATATGGTCTGATGGCACATGCAACATTTGAACGCCTCCATATTCCTTGGGCTCCCAACGTAATTTATAGTCATACCAAGACTATGGATTGACATAACATGAATGAATATAAAACAGATATCACTATACCTAACAAGGGAGAAAAATTAGCACAAAAGTCATTACTACTCACCTGTTCAACCCACAGATTAGTGGTCATGATTTGATTTTTGAGGTTCTGGAACATAAAATAAATCAACACTATTACTAATGCTCGTTGATAAGGTAATTTTTGACATTTCATCTTTATTGTTATTAAAATTTGCTGTACTCCTAAAAAATGACTAGAAATAATAAAAATTGGCGGTTTGTATGAGGTAAAAATATTTTAAATAATGTTTCAGGGGTAAAGAATGTCGGTCTCGCATAGAACCTTGGAATAAAAGTAGCAATCATCTAAACACGAAATGAATAATATTTACTGTACCAGACACAAGTATATAACATCGCGATTTATTTTAATTTATGTAATCTAAATCGAAACTACAGTAGACTTTATAAGTTTATTCCTTTCATAAGTTTCATTCCAATTGTACCACTCCACAAGGTCAGTCCAATATAACAATTGGTCCTGTTTCCAAACCACTGTTAATTATTTACTCTCAAGAGGTTATGGTCGACTCACAGTAGGAAACTGTCCACGGAATAATTCCGTTTTCCAGGACAGGATTTGGATATTGAAAGTTCCACGTGTAGTACTTGAGGTCTGTCGAGCTATTGGATGCGATGACCAAGAACGCACCAACGGCTGCAGCCCAACTGAAAAAGTTCAAGAAAATGGACAGCAAGGCATACCCAACCTTAATACGGCAACCATGAGACACAATGACCGGAAACGCAGGATCCCCGGTATGTTAAAAGTTTTTTTTTTCACGGGGAGAATTTTTACTGCTGTAGAATATTCATCAACAGATGCCATTCAAGCCTTCGATTAGCCAACCTACGATCAATCAGTCAACGAACTGGAATGCCCGTGCTCTGATGTACCTGGAACCTACGACGAGATTTTGGATGCCCCGATGAACGCAACTGGTTTCTAGCTGTGAAAGACGAGCTGAACTCCATGAACGAAAACGACGTCTGGTGTCTCGTGGAACGCCCAAGCAATGACAAGACAAAGTGGGTGTTTCGCATCAAGGAGAATGAAAATAGCAAACCTGCCCGTTTTAAAGCGCGTCTATATAGTAGCCAAGGGCTTTCCAAAAAGGCATGGATTGGAAAATGGCTACGATTGGGACTGTCCTGGCCAGGCATGGAAAATCATTTGCATTCATTTCGTGCATTCATTTACATTCATTTGCCTCTAACTTTTTTCTTTAACAGCATTCCGCGAAATGATGTATGGTGCTTTTATAAGTTTTGTTATTTGCTACAACTTTTGTTAACAAGTCAAATCCCTATCTCATATGCAAGACGAAGCAGTGCGAACAGAAGCCACAACTGTTTTTCAGTGAATGAATTTTACATTCACTGAAAAGCAGTAACAAGTTCTGCCCGCTCTAGTTCGCGATGCATAAGAGATACAGATCTGCATTATGTGCAAAACTTGTAGCTAATAACAAAACCTACAAAAGCTCTATACATCATTTTGCGGAATGCTGTTGATGAAAAAAGTTAGAGGCAAATGAATGTATGAAATGAATGCAAATGATTTTCCATGCCTGGTCCTGGCAGTGGCTGTTCACAGGAAAATGTACGTGCATCAACTTGACGTGAAGACCGCTTTTCTCTATGGGGATCTTCACGAGAAAGTGTACCTGGCTTTTCCTGGCAAGATTGATGCACCGTCCAACCTGGTATAAAATTTATAAATTACTAGCTGAGTGTGCCCGGTCTTGCTCGGGATTCAATATTAGCTTGAGTTTATGCGCCGATTTAAAAAAAAAGCATGCTATATTGTACGTAGCCCCCCCCTCCTCTATTATCTAAGGGGCTACCCCCTATGATTATCTCCTTATACCCCCACTCTCGCCCCCACATGCCTAATTTGGTTCCATTTGCTTGATTAGTTCTCGAGTTATGCAGAAATTTCTGTTTCATTTGTATGGGAGCCTTCCCTTACAGAAGGGGGAGGGGTCTCGAACCATCATAAGAACCTTCCACGGCCCCAAAAACCCCTGTATACAAATTTTCACGCCAATCGGTTCAGTAGTTTCCGAGTCTATAAGGGTCAGACAGACAGACAGACAGACAGAAATTCATTTATATATATATAGATATGGATTGGAGCAAAGCCCACACTGTTGGAACAACAAGTGGAACGAAGGAAGAATTTTCACGTTCTAAATACGACTAGGACGTTCTAAATAGACCACTAGGAATGGTAATATTTATGTTATTATCATTGTCCCATGAGACTGGGATTCACCGTGTACTGACCAAGTTTGGAACGGTTAACTGCAATTTCGTCAAAACGCCGATGGAGAAGGGTTGTCTGCCACAAGTTCAAGATATAAGCACTACGAAGCAGCCATACCGAGAGATACTGGGAAGCGTCATGTACACAACGTTATGTGTACGTCCGGATATCTGCTACTCGATAAGATACCTAGGTAGATATCAGCAGAAACCAGGAGATTCCCATTGGCAAACTATGACGAGAATTACGAACTACTTAAAAAGCACAAAGGAAATGAGGCTCCTATACACTAAGAATGATAATACAACTGTTCTGGTGGGACGCGGGTTGGGTTTCAGATGCTGTAGACAGAAAATCGTATTTCAAGTTTTTGGCAGTACAGTTTCGTGGGTCAGCAGGAAAGAACAGAAGGTGCCCTTATCATCCAGTGAAGCTGAGTACGGTGCGCTGTGTCTGTAGGTACATGACTGAAAGTAATTCTCATGAACCTACAGGTTATGGCATCGGATCAGTTCTTCGCGATCTTCGAGTAAAACCACGGCTGTATTTCTATGGCGAAGAACTCTGAATGTAGAAGAGCAAAACACATCGATCCCAATAAACAATTTTAGCTGCAGATTAGCTTATACAGCCAAAATTTGCCTTATGCAGCTAATTTTTGCCTGTATAAGCTAAGCTGCAGCTAAAATTGTTTGTTGGGATGTCAAGCATCACTTCCTGCGGGATCACGTCAACAACCCGAACAGGAACGAATATCTCGATACCTTAAATTGGTATGGATGAGCCTAACATAAGATCATTCTAATACCAAATTATGCAAATGCAATATCAAAACAATACCACACAGGTATTCTTTTGGTATCCAAATATCAGTGTTTTTTATTTACAAAGTATTTTGCATGCAATTTTTTAGTATTTTTTTTTTTTGGTCTTATGTCATGCTGATCAACACCAACTTTTGGTATCAGATCAGAATTAGGTATTCATTAGTTATTTTCCCCTGCTCGGGAAGGAAACAATAAAGATTGAGCCAATCCCAAGCAACAAGCAATTAGCGGATATATTCACCAAAGCGCTGGATACAACAATATGTATTTCAAGAACTTCGAAAGCTCCTAGGATTAACCGATTTAGAGGGGGTATTGATGTAATCGAAATCGAAGCTACCGAAGACTTTATTAGTTGTTAGCAAGTCCTTAGCAATACAATTGATTTCAAGTAACAAGACGATAAAAAAAAAATCATTCCATTTGTAACACTCAACAAGGTCAGTCCAATATAACAATTGTTCCCGTTTCCAAACCACTGCTGTTTATTTACTTTCAAGATTATTATTTTCCCATTTAAATGTTCAATCTCTTCAATATTTGAATTTAAAAAATTACAATTACGGTTCACTGTAATTCAACAAATAAAAGTTTGAAAAGGACAGTAACATAAGAAGCATTTTGCTCATAGTTCATGTAGACGCATCCAATGAAGCCCAAAACTATACGAAGTAGTGCCACTACGCCGTAAGCTCCAAGCCCGAATTAATTTTATTTTATTTATTTATTTCATCAACCAACGTAGACTAGTACATATTAGAATACAGTTTTGTTTTCTTAAATTTATTTATTTATTTCGTCAACTTTCGACAAAAGGTTAAAAGTATAATTTTTTCTTTAATAAAAATTAAGCAGTGTCAGCTTTCCTATTTTTTATGAGTTATAATGCCTTATGGAGTAAAAATATTGTTTTAGTTTATGCCGAGACATTGTAAAGTCAATGGTTTCGCAGTAATGATTGTAAGAGGCCATCATGCGGTTTAATGGCCCATATTTTGCATAATTTGTGCGATGATGTTTTATGGCAAATAAATTTCGATTTCGGAGTTGCCGAGTAGGTGCATGGAAATTTAATTTTGATAAAAGTTCTGTGGAGTCAATGCGTTGCGAAACGATATCGTTTACAAATGAAACCATTGCATATTCACGACGCTCTTTTAATGTTTGTATGTTTATAAGCATGCAGCGTGCTTCATATGATGGAAGAGGAAATGATGTCCAACCTAATTTACGAAGAGCGTATAATAGAAATTGTTTTTGTACGGATTCTAATCTTTCTTCGTGCGTGATTGAAAAAGGAGACCATACAATGCTGCAATATTCCAGTATTGACCTCACATAGGCGATATATAGTGTTTTAATTGTGTATGGGTCAGAAAGTTATAGCAAAAGTGCTTGATAAAGCCTAGCATGTTACATTAGTTTGCAGCATTTTTGAACTCGGTAAGGTGATGATCGTTTCCAATGCAAAATCCTACGCTGAATTCAATGCCGTGGTCAGAAAAAATTAAAGTAGAGCCATTTTTGAGATATACAAAAATTTGGATTTTTTGAATTTTGGACAAAAGTACGATTACTAAAATGTCAATATCTTTGGAACTAATGCCCTAATTTTAAATCTTTTTTTATGAAAATGAAGCTAAATAAATTTGCTATCGTTCACTAAAATATTAATTCTTAATTAAAAATTTAATTTTGAAGTCATTTAAAAATTTACAGCATTTTTTTTTTCCTGCGAATTTTCCATAAAAATCTTGTTTTAATCAACATTTTTAATGGGATAAAAAGTTTCAAAAAATCATTCCATAATTTATTCTTCAAGTCCATTCAAAACCGGAGAAAATGAGCCTTTAATGGATGAAATCGGTTGGAAATTGTCGAAGTTATGAGCATTTTTGTAAAACACTTAAAAATGTTGCTGAAATACAACAGCTTTAGAGTTCCTTTTCTAGGTTGTAAGCATCCAAATCGCATATAAAGTTTTCATGGGAG